AATGTACTTAGCCATTTTAATTGATCCATAGTTAATAATATCGATATGCGCAGTTAGACCAGCTCACCAGCTCAGGGTGAAGCGTCGATATCCAAATGTGTTTGAGGGGGAGGGGAGGGGGTGGGGCGCAGATCATTGAAAAGCAAAAAAAAAAAAATCTCCTAATAAAACAGCAAGCGGTAAAAGTTCAATCTAAAAAAGAGAACCTATCTTTTTGGGGGGAGGGGGATATAGTACTGGTATCTGGAATCATGGGAGATTCGAACCTCCTAATAATGCAACGAATGAGAGAGAATGGGAGGGGGGCAAACGGCCCCGATATAGATATTTCTTTGCTAAGTTAACAGCAAGAGAATATGCTAAGGGGAAAACGGAAGAGGGGGATGCCACAGAAATTTTGCAAAAAATAAATTATGATTAAGAAAACATTTTGAAATGATCAAATAAATACATAAAAAAGTAGTTTCTGATAAAAATGACTATTGTATCAATTTTCATAGATTGTTCCGATAAAAGCTGAGTTGAAATTGAATTGCAATACATTTAGGATATATATACAACTAATGTGGACTTTTTCCAAAAGCATTATGATCAATGTTGAAGAAAATAACAGTTACATCGACGATGATATTAGGATTAAAAATATTTACGAAACAGAAGAAACAACAGATTAAACAATAGATTAGGTTGTTAAGAAATTAACTTCTGGTAAATTTTGATATGGCGACTTCTTTTGAGAATAAATCACTGATAGAGGAATAAGAACTAGCAACAAGTGGCTATGGGTGTCAAATTCAAATGTTAAGAAAATCAACCACGCCAGTTAAGACAATAATGACAGTGAAGAAACCTATATTTTGATAAAGATGAAAAAAAATTAACACTGCTGATGTTTCGACCGAAAAAACGGAGGTTCAGGCAAAACTCTGACAAGCATAAAATATGTTAAAAAGGCTTCTTTTTTTTTTTTGGCTGACTGTTGCACAGGCACTTGACGTTTTTAGCCTTTCTTTTCATAAGTAAAAAATTCTCCATACTATAATAGTATGGAGAATTTTTATATATGAAAAGAAAGATTAAAAATGTCAAGTGCCTGTGGACTGTTGTATTCATGTACATCTGTATGTAATAAATTAGTCACGTTTCGTGTTGAAATCTTGAATGTCGAGTCTCAGCTCTGATATGTCGATACCCCGGATATCTCGACATTTTTTTTTAAAGTTCCGTTGATGTAGGGATACTGAAGGAAAAAATATTAAACAAGCACACACATCTTTCTGATTTTAAAGAAAAAAAAATGTTTCTATTTCAGTCGTGTGGTCACAGGCAAAAATTAGTCATGCTCTTTAATTTCGAGATTCTGACAAATTGTTATTTTTTAAAACAATAACTGGGAAAAATGGTTTGTTTATTTTATCTTGAGCTTTCAAGACAAAAGCAGATACTAAGTCGATCGCCCATGAAGTTCATGTTAGTGTGGTAGAGTTACAAACATTCAATGGGATATTGCCTAACCGAATAGCCTCATATACAAAAAAAGTATAAACATGTGTGTTGAACCTAATATTTAAGTATTGTTTAAGAATATAATTTTATGTACATTTCATCGCATCGAAAAATGAAAAGATTAGGTGTCAGGTTAGCTGATGTCATAGAGGAAGATGAATAAAGGATCTTAATTATGTTCAAATACATATATTCAAGCAGGTCAGTAGTTAGTTTTAAAGTTGGGGGGGGGGGGTCGGGGGAGGGCAACTTCCTCCGAATATCTGAAAAGCAAAAAAAAAACAAAAAACAAAAAACAAACAAACAAACAAACAAAAAAAAAACAAAAAAAAAAAAAAAACAAACAAAAAAACAAACAAACAAACCTATACTGACTAAAGAGTTGGGGGGGGGGGGCAACTTCCAAAAAAAATCTGACAAGCAGAAAAAAGGGAGAAACTTACCTTTACAAATCCTGTAATTTACCAGTGCTCCACCTTACAATAAAAAATGGGGGGGGGGGGGGGGGCAGCACGTATAAGAGGAAAAATTGCCCCCCCCCCCCCTGCGTTCTACGGACCTGTTAAGTCTCGCATGATATTCGGTTTCAATTTTAAATAGATTTCATAAAAATTGTAATGCATCTTATGGAAAGCCGTAGGGTACCCCTATGGAAAGCCGTAGGGTACCCCCACATTATTATTATTTTTTCCTATATAACTATACCAAAGATAATTATCTCATACAAAAATAAAAATCTTGCTTTTTTACAACATTATTATTTTTCTGCAACAATAATAATCTGGGTACCTCCACATTATTATTATTCCTATATTTTTATAATTGTACCACAAATTAATTTAAAAAAAAAAATAATAAAAATGAAAAAAAAAAAATAATAATGATAAAAAAAATCTTTGTTTGTTTGTTTGTTTGTTTGTTTTTTTGTGTTTTTTTTTTGTTTTGTTTTGTTTTTTGTTTTTTGTTTTTTTTTTTGTGTTTTTTTTTTTTTTTTGTTTTTTTTTTTTTGTTGTTGTTTTTTTTTACAACATTATTATATTTCCCCGCAAATATTACAATTATCACGTTTCCATACTATACTACCATAATGTGTGTACAAATTATCTTTATTTAGCCCAACAATAAATAATAATTTTATCCTCTGATGTTTACTTACTTACTTACTTAGTCCTCTTCGTGCTTTGAGCATATAAGGCCTGCACCGAGGACCTCCATCTCTGTCTGTCCGCTGACATCTGCTGTACCTTGCCCCAAGTCCATCCCTGTTCTTTCATTTCTTTTTCTACTGACCGCCGCCATGTCTCCCTTGGTCGCCCTCTGTTTCGTTTCCCTGGTGGAGTCCATCTTAAGGCTACCCTCGGTATATCTGATGTTTCCATTCTCAAGACATGGCCAATCCATTTCCATCGTTTCTCTTTGATCTGGTCAGATATGGCAGCTGTTTGTGTTCTTTCATACAGCTCCTCATTACTGATCTTGTTTGGCCAGAATATCTTTAGTATTCTACGGAGACATCTTGTTTGGAAGGTGTCTAGTTTTTGAGTGATGTTGTTTGTCACCTTCCAGGACTCAGATCCATATAGGAGGACTCCAATGACATTTGTTTTAAATAACTTTATTTTTGTTTTGGATCTGATAGTTGAAGATTTCCAGATGTTCCGCAAGTTGGCAAAGGTGGTACGGGCTTTTGCAATTCTATTTTCAACATCCAAGGTGGAATCTCCATTGGCTGTGATCTTGCTGCCAAGGTATATAAAATTGTCTACTTCTTCTATTCTGTTGTTGTTTGCTGTAACTTCCCTTTCTACCTTTGTATTTATCTTCATTAGCTTTGTTTTGTTTACATTTATATTAAGTCCGATTTGTCCGCTATACTTGACCAGGTCATCAGTTTTGCGTTGGATATCCTAATATCGTTGTGCTAGTAAAGCGATATCATCTGCAAAGTCAAGATCTTCTAGTGACTGTTGAAATGTCCAGGATATTCCTCTATTGGCCTGACTGGTAGTGATTTTCATAAGCCAGTCTATGCAGAAAGTAAAGAGCAATGGTGAAAGCAGACATCCCTGTCGTACCCCCGTTTGGATTGGGAAGCTGTTTGTTAGTTCTGTGCCGCAGATCACCTTTGCCTGGAAGTCCTTGTATAGCATCTGAATGATGGAGATGATCTTGTTAGGGATGCCATAATGTCTAAGGATCTTCCATAAAGCAGGACGATGTATACTGTCAAATGCTTTGGCAAAGTCGATGAAATTGGCATACAGCGTTGCGTTCCATTCATTGCTCTGTTCTAAAATTTGCCTCAAGGAAAATATCTGGTCTGTGTATGATTTTCCTTTTCTGAATCCAGCTTGTTCTTTACGAAGGTATGGGTCTACAACTGAGGCCATTCTGTTTAAGATGACTCTGCTTAAGACTTTGCTGGTAACTGACAGCAACATAATTCCTCTCCAATTATTTGTGTCTGCTAAGTCACCTTTCTTGGGCAGCTTCACTATGAGACCAACCTTCCAATCATCTGGTGCTGTTTCTGTCTGCCAAATAGTTTGCAGGATATCTGTGAGAAGTCTGGGTGTTAATACTTCCTCGGCTTTTAACATTTCTACATGTACCTGATCGATGCCTGGGGCTTTCCCATTCTTAAGAAGTTTGATGGCCTGTTTTACTTCCTCTATTGTTGGTACGTTGGTATCGATGTCCAAAGTGTCTAAACCTTCACTTATTTCAGCTTGTTCTGTTGATGGACATTCCTGGTTTAATACTCTTTCAAAATGATCTTTCCAACAGGTAAGCTCTTCTCCTATACTGGAGGCCAATTCTCCATCTTGTTTTCGCACTGGTGTATCTGTGCTTTTGAATCCATCCTCTGATGTTTAACAACTATAATCTTGCCAACAGCAATAATTATAATCTTGTCGGTCGATGTGTGTACATTGTTTTTATTTACACCAAGATTATATCATATTACGTTTACTTCAACGATTTATAAGTATGGATACTTGTAACAACTACTGATTGAAAATAAAAAAAAAAAAAGAAGAAGCCACTTTCATAGAAATAAATATGTATGCAAAAAAAAACAAAAAAAAAAAAACAAACAAAACAAAACAAAAACAAAAGACAAAAAAAAAACACCACATTAATTTTGCAACAATAATAATGTGCGCCTTGTTCGTAGAAAACAACTTTATTTTTCATCGGGAAAGATAACTTCTTTTCTAGTGACAGGAACGAAAACTCTGTATCTTGTTGAAACATTATTATTGTGACAGACTGTACACATTATTTGAAGCGTGAAGGAAATATTTATATTATCTTGAGCGTGGAGAAATATTATTTCTAGCGTGACGGATACAAGCGTTAATGTGAGAGAGATTTGCACACATTATTTGAAGCGTGAAGGAAATATTATCTTGAGCGTGGAGAAATATTATTTCTAGCGTGACGGATACAAAGCGCCTTCACCGTTCAGTCGAAGTGACAGTCTGAAGACGTCTTCGACAACAAAAGTTACAAGGTAGGACAAACACGGTAAGAAGTAAACACCACGCCAGTAATGTTTTAAGCTTAAATGTTAAAGTACAGAACTTTCAAACCTTAATGTTAAGATATAGAACTTTCAAACCTAACTTTCGAATTTTCTCGTCAGGGATTGAGTCTAGAATAAAACATAAATTGTCTTCTATATACATGCACACGCAAGGAGTATTAGAAATCGCATCATAAAATATGTATTTTTTTTTACAGATATGTTTTGTGTAGAGTGTGGTCACAAGTTTGACCACAACAATCCCAAATTTTGTGGGAATTGTGGGATAAGAATAGGTATGTGAAGTTATAATTACATTGTAATATATATATATAGAGAGAGAGAGAGATGTCATGAACTGAATATAAAACAAAAAGTTGAAGCAGAGAAGAACAGAAATATGTTCAAAAGAAGTTTAACATTCTGATGTATTATAGTTTCGGATTTTTTTATCGGTAAACATGGTAAATACTAAATAAGAACCGAAAATGAAGACATGCAGTCCTGAATCTGCAGTGAATTGTTGCTGAAATTAAACTAGAATGTGTGAACTATTTCACAAACCAGATCTGGCAATTTAGGGTTCTTCAGCAAAAATCAGGTGAAAAGCATGACTCGCCATGCCATAAAAAATAATTGGGTTATGGGTAAAAAAAGTCTGGTTTAACACAACAGAATTGGGGGAGTTGGCAACACTCCCCCCTCCCCCCATTACTACGTACATGTATCTGTTTTTAGGAACATTTGTAACCATTTTCATTACTATTAGAATATTACTAGTTATTTATGCATTTATCTATTTTATAGGTAGCAAGGACACTGGAGATGTTGAAAAAGAACCATCCATTGGTAAAGGATGAATCGTTTAAACGTCTAAATCTGGCCCCCCGATAATTTACAAAAAATTAAATTAAAGATTTTCTATATATTTTTGCCTCAATCTTTCCATCAAACATTGTAGTTTATTAATTTCAATTTCAATTTTTACTTCCTTGCGCTGTAATTAGGTATTTATGTGATTAATATAGCAGGGGTATGTTATTTACATCGATTTCTCATAGACTTTAGGCCACACCCCCATTTTGCAAGCCCATTTTTTATATGAGCGCATGGATGTTTCAAGTTGTCGTAAATACGGTCAATGTAAAGAGTTATACTAGTCATTTACATTCATGAAAAAAATTGAAACAGTCTTGCGCTCATTTTTTATTTTCAAAAAAGGTGCAAAATCACGGGTGCTTGTCTCCATAGTAAAGGCACCTTGTTTACAAATTTCAACCCATCTTTGACCTCATGAATAACAAAGCACTGAACACGTGACTCAAATCTATTCACTTCCACGCTTTGAACACACCTATGCGACATTGTGTACATGTATAGTGTCTGCGAGCCGTCGATGGTCAAATCATTTTTCAAATGGGTAATTAAAATTCTGGGAGAAATTTTTTTTTATGATTAAGATGTGTTAAGATTTTCAGTCGATTTTGTTTGATTTATTATTATTTTTTTTTTTTTTGGTATCTATCAATCTATATTGAAGGCCTGTAGCATATAGCTTGCACTTACTGCTTGTGTCTCATAAATACAGAATTCTAAAATTTAATTTACTGTGGGTATATATTATACATTTGCCCTTGTTCCTAAATATACATCAGTGCTCCGTTCATTGACTTGGAAGATATGAAAGATTTATTTTCAGTTAAAACTGTCATTAATTTTATAGTCCGTTATTTGAAAAACACCAATTCATCATATCTTTAGAAAAATAAATTGTTTGTTACAAGTGCACAAATGCATACTTTCAATAGAAGAAACCTTCATGAAAAGAAATTGAAGTACGGAGCGCTCAAAAAACCTTTGTATCGGATGAAAAGTCACTGGGTGAATACATTTGCACAAAAAGCACCCCTTATTTGAATAGAAGGAAGCTTCATGTTTCTTTTGAAGCAAATGCTAAAACTTTTTACATCGGCACAAAATTTCACAATTTTTTTTCTCTTTTTTTTAAAAAAAAAATCCATGTTCGCAAGTATTTTTAAAGCATAATGTTTAAAAGTAAGAATATGCATTTGTATGACCCTTTCACATGTCCGATCAACGTAGATATTAGTAAAAAAAAAATCAGTCGAATGAAAAAGAGCGTTAAAAATACCTCGGAGTGATTTATTATATATCTTACTACAGGGAGAGAGTTTGTTAAAATCAAAGAGTACGGGAGTGGATTTCGACAGTTAATGAATTCCTAAATGAGGAAGATCATATTAACTTGTCTGGCATGAATAAACAGGATTTTTTGAAACATAGCAATTTGAACTGTTTCTTTATCCACGAGCAATGATACTGACGTTAAATTGACGTTTAAATTCTCACTTTCTTAACTATCTATTTTTTATACACCGAGTGTAGTTTTATATCATAATTCAACCGCCTACGTGTATTTGTTGTAGCACTCGGATTTTGCAAAAATTATATATATGTATGAAAAAAAAAATTATTATGTAATAGCCTTAAATGGATTGATTATCTCTTTTTCAAAAAAAAAAGGTTTCTTTAAAGTATGAAAAATAGTGTATCCCTCGTTATACGTTCCGTTTCCAAATTCCATTGTGTATTTAATGTATAAATAATTTAATGAATTTCTAGTAAATCATTTCAAAAACGACTTGTAAGAAATCAAAATTAAGCCAGACAAATTAAAAATGTATGCTTATATTTTGTCGGTCTCTAGCATGAAAAAAGGCTTTTTAGGTGTCAGTTAATCATAAAACTTAGTACACCTCGAACACACGCTAATGTATTCATACTAATCGCACGCTTGATTGACGCTCCGCCTTCTCATTCAAATAATACAATGACCTGCATAGCTGTAATGGCGAAACCGGGATTTTACAGTGAAGTATACGATTTTATTTAATCGATATAATGTATAAATTGAAAGTCTCTTTCCCCAAAAAAATCTTTTATGAGTAACTATACAGACTATGCTTGAAGACTTTAGCTATAATATAACAATTTTCTGATTTGAAAAGGTAAAATTCTGCATTTAAAAAGGGGCGAGAAAGCAGTGTTATGAGGGTTCATTCTTTATTGATTGCGGAAGTTCTAGATTTGAAGCAAATTCCTTTTGCCTTAAATTATAATTAATCAATTACACGTAAACTTTGCTATCTCGACATCAGCAGAACTATCGGAAAATGTTGAGGTATCAGAGTTGAGACTTCATGTCCAAGACCACTGGCGGATTTAAGGGGGGGGGGCGCACCCCCCCCCCCTAAAATTTTCAAAGTATGATATGACTAATATCAATAATGCCATACTTTGGTATATAACAAACCAATACCGCTATTTTGGTGCCTGGTTTTACTCTTAAAATACACGAAAACCCAGGAGCTTCCGGGGGCTTCGCCCCCTGGGCCCTCTCTATTCAAAGTATGATATGACTAGTATTAATAATGCCAAACTTTGGTACATATAAACTAACCAATACCCCTATTATTGTGCCTGGTTTTACTCTTAAAATACACGAAAACCCAGGAGCTTCCGGGGGCTTCGACCCCTGGGCCCCCACCAGGGCTTCGCCCTGGACCCACTGGGGGCCTTATAATTAGAGCGGCCCCCAGACCCCCTGCCTGAACAAAGTTATCCACGCCACCCCCCCCCCCCCCCAATCACAAATCCTGTATCCGCCCATGAAGACGCCCAAGATTTCACTGCGTAGCAAAACAGACAGGTTTACATGTATTACGTACATGACTTCAATATACGATAGTTCATCTTATTTCAGGAATCCCTCTATTTTTATTACCAAATCTAAGGAATTATAATAAAAATAATGTTTATAAAATAAGTTCTTTCTCTATATCGAAATCTTTCTAAATTTACAAAGTTTTCCAAAATTCCATCATTCCGTGTACGTGTAACTTGTTTTTTTTTTTTTTTTGTCAGAACAGGATATGAAATGTGCTCTATAAACTTCGAACCGTATAAAGTCGACATCCGAGAAACAGAAAAAAAAAATAGATGCATTATTTTTTTTTTCTCATTTCAAAAAGAAAGCTCATAAAAACAAAATGTGATGTTACTTGTGCATGAATTAAGGCTGATTCAGTTAATCATGTCATTATAATTTGATTATTCAAGTTCCTGTTGAATGAATTTTTAAAACAAAATATCTTTTAAAACATCATTTTATTCCTTAGTTGGAATTAAATTTAATGCGTTTATTATTCATTGTAATGCAGTAAGCTTTTTCAAATTATAAAAGTTGTGCTTTATGTTGATATTAATAAACGTCGGTACATTTAACGAAAATCGTATAGATTTATCGATGATATTGCCCAAGCTTAACATTTAATTGAGCAATTAAAGTCTCGAAGAAGACCGAAGGGCTTGGGATTCTTCTACAAACACAGTCTGACTATAGAATGAATTCAGCAGTGTGTAGTCAAAACATGGGTGTGAAAGGTCTGAATTTCTTATGATGTCGAGATACACACAGTCATCCGTGCCTGACGAGTGACCATTTGACAAACAGTTAGGTTTAATAGAGCAGAAAATTGCCGATGTCGACATATACCAGGTAAATGTTGCTCTTGGGACTGTGAATATACGTCGAGATAAACCGGGTTGTGGACATTACCGAGGTAGACATATCAGAGTGTTTGCAAATGAAGTATATAGTAAATACTGCCGGGAGCACCAACGGATGTCAACATATCCCAGGTTGTCGATGTATCCGATGTCGAGATACGGAAGTTTACCTGTATTTAATGAATATTCAGTTGAACTTTGATATCTTGAACACTGATCATGTGGTGATATCTCAGATGCCATGTATATATCAAAGTGATTTGGAAGTTGCAACCACTTATTCTTTAAGTATGTTATCCCTGATATCTCAAATCCTTGGATATCTCAAAGTTCAGTCCGTCAAGTTCAAGATAACAAGGTTTAACTGTATTTATGAAACTTCACAGGTAGTCACAGTGAGGTGCTTTCTGACACTGATGACATGGAAATTTTGCTATAATTACATGTATACTACATTCATTTGGCATGAAAATACAATAGAATAATGTATTTCTCTAAATTTTCAGGTTGTGAGGTGCTCCCAGACATGGCAGACATAAAAGGTGTTGAACAAAAGTTATCCAAAGGTAAATTTACTAATGATTGTATAGTATATTCTACAACTTATAAAAAGCATTGATGATTTCCTGTAGGAAACACCTTAATACAGTAACAAATTTTCCAAGGCAGACCTCAAAATATATATACCTATCATATGTACACACGCATGTCATTATAATAAATGATTTACTTACTTACTTACAATAGTCATTATGAAATTTATTTTTTATGTGCTTCTCTTTATATGACATGTTGTGTGAAAATGAAGCAAAGTGCTTCCAGATTTGGTAGGAGACTTAGAATCTGATTAATGAATATCATCAATTTAAAAGAAATCTGAAATATCTGTGCTTGCTAGTCGACAAGTGAGCTTTGGTAGTCGGGACAAGGAAAGTCATCATGGTGATGAGTGGTTATGATTCAAACTTGTCCTCCTGAGCAAGCGGTCATGGAAATTGTTAACACCCTGTAATTTAGTAGATAAATTTTTGTCTTGAGCTTAAAACAAACATGATCATAGGGCCAAGGATTTCTCCAAATAGTACATCTTTGAGACAGTGATTTTGCTAGGATAAAGTAAAATGATAAGTATGAATTTGTGTCTCAATACAAGTTTTTGATAATGTGTGTTATGTTTCTATCAGGGATGGGGTAATTGAAAAAAGTAATTGTAATTGACCGTAATTAATTACATTTTTTGAAGTAATTGGAAGTAATTTGTAATTGAACATTTTTTCAATTACTTGTAATTGTAATTTAATTAATTACACTGAAAAAATACCATGTAATTTCAATTACTTTTTCAATTACATTCAATTACTTTATATAATACACATTCATGATATATTGTCACCACTACCTCCCCATTTTACAGTCTTTTATTTTATTGTAAAACATATTCTCAGTCCTTCAATTATACAAAATCTTAAGTTAATGTTTACAAGCAAATAAATGATTGGCTTGATAATAATAATCTAGTTTCCTTTAAATCATTATGTAAAATTTGAATTTTTTATTTTATGTTTGTCAAATTTTGTATCCCCCTTCTTAGGTCAGCTATTCAGCTATGAAACACACATTTATTATATTTCAATATTTGTTGTTGGTTGGTAATAAAGAAAAAGAATGTGTGTGTCATTAATTAAGTTCTCTTTTGTTGGAAAAGATAATTGCACTCCAAATTACAGCTATAAATTGCAATCAAAACAAATCAACTCCTCTAAAGAGGTATTCATTCCGTGATTTAGAAGACAAAGCCATTGGAGATAATTATTTCAATTAAAACTGCTCCGCTAGCTTTAGAAAAGAAAATCTTGCAATTTGTTAATTATTTGAACATCTAAACAGATTTTTAGTGAATAAATTTTGTATCTGAAAAAAGTTATGTTCTGTACAAGTATTATTTATGAAGTAAAAATTTTCACCATTAATAGCAATTTAGGATGTTTGGGTTAATTTCAAAAGAAATATTTAATTAGATGGGTTGCAGTTGCGACTCATTTTACTCTATTAAAATACCCACTTTTAATCAAATATCATAAGCCATGCAATTAATGTACATGTAGGTTTTGTGTGGAGGAAACTGCATCAAACTGATCTTGGATAGCTCTTTAATGTTTTGTAAATAAACCACAAAGATAAACAATGCCTATATAGCATATTATTTCTTGTATTGTTTGTGCAGAGGCTGAGTTTATATACAATGGATGATGTTCCGTATATTCATTGACAAGGATTATAAAAATTTCAAAAAAATTAAAAGTGTAATTTGTAATTTAATTAATTACTTTTGCAAAGTAATTGTAATTTAACTAGAGCAGAGCTCGTTGCAAAGCAACGAGTAGGTCTTCCGTTGGAGCTGCGAACAGGAAGAAGTGACCTTGAGTCAAGGTCATGCCACATTCTAAGGTTATAAGCAATCTTGTAAGGGGTATCAACTTGCAATGTCTCACCAGTAGAAAGACAGTTAAGGAATGTTGTTTCTCCGTTGATGACCTTGAACTCGTTCAAATGACCTTGCATCAAACCATGACACACTCTGGTTATAAGAAAACCCCATCTATGTGTAACCGACTCGACAAGTTAACACATGTTCTTTCAGACCATTCATCCAGTCAAAACATTCTTTCCTTAGTGACCCTAAATTTAATCATCATGGCCGTAGGAACCGAGGGGGGCGTGCCCCCCAATAATTTTGCCGATATATAGATTACAATAGTAGACATAGATACTATAGCTTGTGCCATCTCAATAAAAACGTCTGATAACCTTCTTTTTTGCTTTTCAAGGAATTTTTGGTAGTTGGTGACCTTTCTTTTTTTGCTTGTCAGGAAATTTATGGTAGTAGTGCCCCCACAACTGTCAACTGAAAATGTATGGCTGTGCCCCCCCCCCCCCCAAAAAAAAAAAAAAAACTGAATTTGCTTCCTATGGGCCTGATCAAGGCAATGATACACTCTGTATGATATCAGCGATACCCTTTTGTGTGTTTCGGACTTGACAAGTTCACAGTTTGCATTTATTGCATGATAGTGAGGGAGACATGAAGATTTCTTCGCCCATAAAAAATCATATTCCGCGAGGGCAACATGAAGATTTCTTCGCCCATGAAAAATCATACTCCCCGAAGGCAACGCCCGAGGGAAATATGATTTTTCATTTGCGAAGAAATCTTTATGTCTCTATTATGCAATAAATTGTTTATAATACCGAATTAACCAAAATGCAGGAATTACAAAGGAGATACAATGAATAAAGCAAACATGCATTTGATGAGAACGATATGAAAGAGATGTAAGTTACAGGTACACCAATAGCCTCGTTTCATTAAAAAAAAAATTCCTATGTGACAAGTTTGTGTGATCACACCAGTAACATTCAAACACCATTACATTTTTACACATTTAAATCGACACAATCAATCAACGATAATATGTTGACGGTGCGACCGTTGGGCGAGTGCATTGTTCACTTAATTTTAAGATCCGCCTCTTCAAACAGCACGAGACATTTGGAACGTCTAGACTGTGATGTCTCATGACGTATGTTAGCTGTACTTCCATAAACGAATTTTGAAAAGTGCAAACATTTTAACAAAGAACGTTTAATCTACTATCTGTATGCAATTCCATTAATTAAGGTTATTTTTTGGGGTGAATTTTAGTTGTTGTTACCGCGCGAACGAAGTAAGAAGCGTCGCTATAAACAATCTAACTCCTCACTCGTTTAATTGTGACGTCACAATCGTGAAACACGACGTTTTGTTGCAGGGCAAACATGATGGACACGTGACTTTCTCGGCCAATCAAATTCTATTTTACTAGTGATTTTTCACTTGTAAGCTAGTTTTCACAGAGGTATAATAAACGTTTTTTTAGACCATACATCGAAATAAATTATCATAATTTCTATAGTCGTAATTTATTAGGTTCAACTCACTGCTTTAAAGGATCATTGTAAATGTTTTATGCCCGATTTGGATACTGAACAACGTGTGATTTTTGAAACACTGATGCCCCCATATGGCATCTTATGGCAAAAGTTAAAGTTTCTCAAATGCAAGTCAAACTCCATGGTCAAGATCAAAAGATAAAAAAAATGTTATTACCCAAATAAAGGTCTTGAACAAAGAATATAACAGTTTAAAAGTTATTGCCAAGGTTAATTTCTTTAAAAGGTCAAACTCCAAGGTCAAGGGATCATAATTGTTTGTACTTGAGGGAAGGTCTTAATTGTTACAAGGAATACACATATAGTTTTAAAAAAGCCTAGCACCAACTGTTCAAAAGTTAAAACCAAGGCTAAAGTTTTTCAAAAGTAGGACATACTCAAAGGTCAAGGTAAAATGGTCAAAATTAAAGGTATACAATGACAGGCCTTATCACAAGAAAATTACCTATGTAATATAAAAGCCCTAGTACTAGTCATTCAAAAGTTATTGTCAAGGCTAAAGTTGTTTAAAAGTTGGTCAAACTCCAAGATCAAGGTCAAATGGTCAAACATATTTATACCCAAGGAGGAGACTTATCACAAGGGATACAGATGTGAAGTATAAAAGCCATAGCACCAACTGTTCAAAAGTTTTGTCCAAGGTTATAGTTTGGTAAAATTTTGCGAAAGAGGATCAAACTCCAAGTTCAAGGTCAAGAGGTCAAATATGTTGGTACCTGAAGGAAGTCCTTGTTACTAGGAATACACATAAGAAATATGAAAGCAGTAGTTCCAACCAATCAAATTTTATGGGCATAGTTTTTTGCGGACAAAGAGGCTAACACAGTCTAACAGACAAATAGACAGGTGGACAGGACAAAAACTGTTTGCCCCCCGGATCTTCGATTACAGTAGCATAAAAAAAATGTCGGCGTCTTTGGGTTTTCGCATTGGCCTTAAATCTGAAAATCCAAAGGATTACAAGGTGCATTACGATACGCTTTCACATCATGTTCTATAACCCAGAGCATATTGTCTGCAAAGATAAATATTTAATTCAGTATTTAATTAGCTATGCATAATTATCTATGTTGTTTTAAAAGGAAAATATAAAAAAAATATTTGTTTTATATTTTTCGATGTAGAGATATGCAGAAAATGTTTTCCTATTTTAAGTCCTATCGCAATACATATTTAAAAGAAAGTGTGTGTTGGAGGGGGGGGGGGTCATTACATTTTTGCTGGGATTCGCCTATGTATGACCGTAGAGAAACAAAGAGTGGGGAGGGTGCAAGCAGCAACTAAATCAAAATTTACATATTAAAACTACAGCAAAAGACTATTTTCAGAAGGTGTCCCCCCCCCCCCGGTACAATCCGTACAACGGACCTGTGAAAAAAATACTGATCCTACATTCAGAGTCCCAGGGCACCAGGAAAGAGTGGCAAAAAGAGAATATCGGTTTATTTCAGTCTATAAGTCGAATCAAAATATCTTTTCCTCAAGAGTCTTCTTTCTTTGAGTTCATCCCAGTGATCGTGTGACTTATTTC